AGAAAGGAAAGAAGTTGGACATTGCCTGTGTAGTGTCTATAGGGACTGGTATATTCCCTGCTATTAAACTAGGCAGTATTGATGCGCATAAATTCTTCAGTGTTAAAGCATTTGGAAACCTCATTACTTTATTATCTAAAGCTGTGAGTATAATAATTATACAAGAAGAGTTTATCATATCATTGTTCTTCAACTCTATTTTATTTTTTATAGTTGGTTGAGTCAGAAGATGTTGCCATGAACTGCAAGAGTAGGTGCGAGGAGCAGCACATTCCTTTCTTTCGTTTTAGTCCTCATCTTGATACTGAAGTGGCTTCTGGTGAGACAGATAATGACAAGCTCATAGATATGATACTGCAAACTAAATATCAGGTCAGTCTGGCAATAAATAAATTCCATGAGTAGCAATTAAGTGAAGCAAAATAGAAGCTTGGCAGATTATTTGATAAAGTTTGCCATATTTGTTAACTTTTTCACCATAATGAATTTTTCATCTCATTTTGCTTATCATTGTCACTATTCAAACTTATACATTGCAGGCTGTGAAAGAATGGAACGAGAAGCTTGAAGATTTAGCATGCATATTTTCACGAATTGAAGAATACAGTCGTAAACAAATGATACAGAAACTGAGAGATAGAAGAAGGCTTCAAACAATGATCAGCCAGAACGACGTCATTCCAGAAGAGCAATGATAATTTAATCCAATCAGATATGAATTCTACAGATATAATTATTGCATCCATCACTCACCTACTACTCTTCCCCAGCTCATGCAGTATCCTGTTTTAATTCACCACCCACAGTATCACATATATAGTTCATGCATACAGCAACTTGCATTATGGAAAAATGAACTATAGAAGTTAAAAAACTGAAAAGGAATCAATTCCAGGCTTGCAAGTTAACTCACCTCCAATAAAATCAGTATTCATGTATGCTACATAATGTATAAGTGGGTTTTTAAGGAATTATATTTCACATAAATCTAATAAATTTCCAATATGCAGATTTTAATTTCGCAAATTCTACCACGTGCCATATTAAATTGATTTTTGCAAATTTTATTTTGCAAATTTGGAAACAATTTGCCACTTATACGGTATAAACCAATACACACACTTTAGATACAATTCATTGTTTCATGCACCTTTTTATTGGTATCACACTGAAGCATATATTACTTAAGAGAAATGATTACATTTCCCACATTAGTATTATTATTATTATTATTATTATTATTATTATTATTATTATTATTATTATACAACCAGTAGTTAACCAACAGCATGCAACACAAAAATAATACGGAAAAAAACAGCAAGGGAGAGCCCTTCAAAGTAAAATGTAAAAATGAGATAAAAAACAAAGAAAGAAAGGACAAAGAGCTATATTAGCCCATCCACCAAAGGTGGAAGGACAGAAGAGCGGCAAAGCCACTTGTGGGCATCTGACCTCCACAAAGAAACAGATAGTCTCTGAAACAATTGATGGCATACTTCCTCCTGAGATATACCTCTGCGACTTGCAATATGGCGGCCTATAGAGCAAATAATAGAGGCAGCACCAGAACTCCATCCACCAATAGCCTCAATAGCCATAGGAAGAAATAGTACACCAATGCATTGGCAGTTCTCAAAGTGAACTATATTCTTCCTCTCCTCAGCAAACTGTAAAGCCCAACCCTTATCTCTAGCAGCATGAGAGATGGTTAACTGCTGAAGTGGAGATATGACAGTAACGTCCAAAGCAGCAGGGTCACCCAGGGACCATGAAGGAATGAAAACATCAGCAGGACGAGGACAGGAGCCAGGAATTAGTGAAGGCACTTCCTTTTTAGGGGAAAGAGCTACAGAGTAAATAATGTCCCTAAGAGCATTATGCCTAGCAATCCTGTCATTGTTCCCGCCACATGTTAAAGAATGATCCCCATATTATTATTATTATTATTATTATTATCATAAAAAGAAAAGAAACACTTAGGTGTAGGATAGATAGGACATATGTATAATACAGAAGATGGAAGAAAGAGAGAGATGGAATAGATACAGGTGTAGGAAGTAAAAAAAAACAACAACAACAATTATTATTATTATTATTTTTTTATTATTATTTATTATTACGTATTGACAAAAATACAAATGTAGGATAGGTTAGAGATACAGATAGGGGAGAAAAATAATGACAATATATAGTACCGGTAATAATAAGAGAGAAAGAAAGGAGAGAGGGAGAGAAAGAGAGAGAGAGAGAGGGGGGGGAAAGAGTGTGGGAAG